TTTGTCCATTAACTTCCTGTCCTCAGTTCAGCTTTATATCTTTATCATTCACCTACCCCAAAACTCAACTTGAGAGTTCAGACCTTCTTGGTCCCCAGACTCTGATGAGAGGAGACCTGGAGCAGGAATAGGACCAGGGAAAAGGAAAATTTTTATATAGGATACCCTCCACATTATATCCTACTCCACTGGCAAGATCAAGATGTGAACAAAAAAGTATTGATTGATTGTCTTATGTGAGGCACCAGAGTGGGCTTGGGTAGACAGAAGAGGATTGGCAATAAAAAATCAGCCCTACACCCATGCCGCACAAAAGTCTATTGTAGTATTATTTAGCATTATTATTATTATTAATGTCATTATTGTTATTGTTGTTATTGTTGTTACCATTTTCACGAGAGATGCTTTAAGGCCAGGATTTAACAGCGGCAGGAGAAAGCTTCCTCCACACACCTCCTGCTCCTCAAACCTTATGACCATCTGCCTTGGCCACTTTCTATGGAGGCTGTTATTGCTCTCACCTTAAGTGAGCAGAAACCAAGGAGACCAAGCAGAATCCCTGAATGCACATAATGCTATGGAAATGTTAAGATTTTCCTGAGATGCTCCTGGACCAAAATGACAGACTTGGAACCTTCCTAACTCTATCCAAACATTTGAAAATTTGCAGATTTTCAAAACAAATGGCTCAGACCTATGTTATTTGTAAGAATTAAATATGACGTGGAGAGAGTATCCCTTCTGATATCAAAAAAACCTCACCAAAACTCACTTCCCAGAGACCTAATGAAACAAAAGCAGCCCTCCAATGTTGCCTTCAGCTATTGCCTCATCAACACCCTCTTGCTAGAGTTTAAATTACCCTTCAGGGAATACTTTAAAATAATATTACTTTTGGGAAATTTTCTCCTTGCTCTGGCAATGGAAGAATATTGTCCATCTATTCTTAAAAGAAAAGAAGAAAAAATTACATTCAGACATGGCACAGCAGGTGTGCAGAGCACATTTTGGCAGAGCTGTTGAAATCTCACTGATTTTTTGATACCACCTAGGTCAAGGTGTTTGTTGGGATGGTTGCCAGTCAAACAGTGCAAAGCTCGTCTAAGACAGTTTGTCCTCTAACATTAAGCTCTTGATCTTGCAGTCATCTTGCCATCAACAGGAATGTGCTTGAGGAAGGATTGATACAATTTCTGCAGCAGTGACAAAAAAATGAAAGCAAATCTGAAAGTGGGAAAAAATCTTAACAAATTTAATTCAAATTTCACAGGAAGTCAACTGTGAAATTAGGAAGTCAATTCCTCATAAGTTAGTGTAGTTTTGTGAAACTATTAGCTAAATTGGTTACATCAGATGACGACTTGATTCCAAGATTTTAGTTCCTCCAAGATCCAACATAAGAACCAACTACTGGGACAGATCTTTAGCTGCTGAAAAGAGGGAGAGCTCATTTGAGCAAGACAAGTGGATCGCAGCTGACAGTTCAGCCCAAAATATTTTCAGGAAAACACTGAAGGTACCAACTGGCTGAAATTATATTCTCATGAAAATAGCTGTAATTAGACAGACTTCAGAACTGTCAATAAGATTATAGATTAATAGCATCCATATTATTGGCATTGAACTTCATCAGTCTTAAAGTGGGGAACGTTGCCACGAATAGTTGGTGCAGCTTCTCAGCACCCTTTGGAAACCAATAGATATATCAAGCAAGCAAGAAAGCTGGTTCTCTGGAAATAGCTGCCAAGAAAATGCTACTCAATAACTCCAGTCCCAGTGGAGTTATGTCAGCTAGATGGATTTGATGAAGTCTGCAGTCCTTTTCCACATTAAGTATAATTATAATGCGGATAATATTTAGGATCATTTCTATGAACGGTTCACAGGCCTTTTTCTCTGGATCTTTCAGATTTTCTTTTTTAATAAGTCTTGCAGGAGGTTGAAGCTTCAGGAACAAGCATGTTGCTTATGACCACCCAAGAGCTGGCATGTAGAAGAAATAGTGGAAGAGGGAATACTCATGGGGACCAGTGTACTAACATCAAATAGCTCCACCAAGTTGGGGTGCAAAGACCTTCCTAATCAGAGAAACCTCTCCAGCAAGGCAGTGGGATGAGTCCTGCCGAGCTGGGCCGAGTCCCTGGGGAAAGCACAGAGACCTGCTCCACCACCTGAACCTGGAGGCACACCTTATCCCGCAGCTCCCCTCTGGGAACTGCGCACTGCGATGCGTCACGCGGCTGGCACTGGCTATACGTTGTTACACGAAGGCCCACATCAACCAGCATGCCCAGTCGGAGACGTTTCTCCGCACGCTCATGCATTATGCATGGCTCCATCCCAGCCCACTTCAAATGCATCACCTTCCAGTGCGAAAGATGACTTGGGTGTGGAAGTCAGCTGCAATTCCCCAAAGCTGCCTATGATAATATTTTGAATGAAGCATATGCCCAGCAGGGGCGAATTATTCTCCCGCTCCCCTGAGGGACTGTATCATGATCTACCACTGACATAATCATGCTGTACCTGCAGGATGGATAGGTAAAACACATTGCAGTATTTCTAAACCTATGTAGCAGCATCAATTGCTTCATTGCAAGGAAAGTAACGGCATGTAGATTTAGTGGGGCAAAGCCAAAGCCTCACCAAGTGTCCCTGCAGCTTCTCAAGATCCCCACCCAATTTTACACCAATTATAAGTACTATAAGGGCAAACCAATGATACAGCTAGTTGCAGGCTTGGCTGTTCATTAATTAAAACTTATGTTAACCTCAGTGTTAACTGAGGTTTTTTCCATAATTTCAGTAAAAATATGCTCTGTATTTACGGAGGTTTGTGTCTACATTTGTTATGTTCACAGACATATTCCAGAGTTTTCAGAGAGGAACCATAATTCCATTGATAATGAAGTTGGCAAAATTATACAACTCCATGTTTGCATGAAACTGATATTCTGGGTTGAGACAGAGACCGCATGAATAATAGATATTAAAAGAATCAATGAATCAAGTCTTTAGTTTTCATTCTTCTGAATTTTAAATTCCTTCTGTTTTATCTGGGGCTGATCAAAGAATTTTGCCGACAAAAATAATATGCTATGACTATTTCACGTTTTCTGCAGGATCATTTTTGAATCATAAAGCACCACCCAAGAAAAAGAAAAAAATATGCAAATGATGTGGAACTGAGGCAAGTGATTTATTTTAGCTGCGTTGATTTTTTCAGATTTGGGGTTTTTTTTCAAATCAGCATGGGACATATTGTGTCACTTAATTTTCAGCAAATCTACCTCTTGGTTTCAAAAAGGAGAGCACAGAAGGAGAGAAAGCCTACTATTATTATTAATTATTAATTAACAATAGCAACATGTTCTTTGTTATTTCCCCCTTTTTTAACTTATGAAAAAATATTTTTTTTTCTGATAAAGAGGGAAAATATTTAGTTTGCCTCTAAATACAGGTGGTTCAGCATTCTGACTCAGCAAATTAATGTTTTTATAAGGATCAGCAAAATATTGAGCCTTTTTGGAAACAAACCAAACAAAAACCCAAACCCCACCTAACCAGGAAGTTTATCTGCAAAACTCAGATGAAAAGACCCTGAAGTTTCGTTGTGGCTCTCCCATATAAGCTTAATGAATCATGCAATCCTATAGAAAACCCTAGCTCTTGATTGAGGTACGGAAAGCCTGAGCTGCTGGAGGCTGGCATTTAACAGGTGCACCTGTTTACTTTCCAGCTATTCGTCTTCCCTAAAAAAACCCTCAGACCATAAATACAAATAGGAACTGAATTAAGATTGCAAAAATATCAAAATCCCCAGAGACAAGTGTCTGTCTGAAAGATCTCCCCCTGCCCTCCCCTCCCCAAAAAACACTTTAGGAAGGTTTCCTGGCTTCTGTTACATTGAGCTGTGTTTATGAAACCGTGTCTGCAAGCATCCTGGACCCTTTAATGAGATGATGCTAAACCCTGTTGAGAGCATAAACATCATGTACAGTCTATTCAGCGTAAACATGCACCTTAAAATTAAAAAATACATTCAAACAAAGCCTGCCCGAAGCAGACAGCAGCCTGCCCGGCAGGATCAAGCCGCTAGCTTTTCTCCCTCTAATCTGCCTACCGAGCAGCGTCACAGAGACTGTCTTTTATCAAAACAAAGGCTGGATGCTGGCTGGGAAGTGTGAAGCTGACTAAAAATGGCTGAAAAGCTGTCCGAGGCACCCGGGAAGGTAGCCAGCCCCACCCAGCGCAGACACCGACCCGCTCAAAATAAGCTGAAAATAAGCCCAAAAGGGAGATGCTATTGTTGCCCTCGCCTACTCAGCAGCAAGACAACATCATTGCAATATTTTGCCTCCGAAAGGCTCAGCGGAGTGCTTGAAAGCACAACGAAGGGATTAATTTTTTTTTTTTTAAAGCAATCCTACAGCAAAGTACGAAGTGGGTGGCAATGCCGCGGCCGTCTCGGTGCTATCGCACTTCTTGTCGAAGCTGCGTTTTCTTTGTGTCGACGCTAGGCTAAGCCCTCGCTATGGGTGTGTCCGTGGGCAGGATGCACTGAGGCGCCCAACACAACCGCCTTGAACCCTCACAAGCCCAAGCAGGCACAAATTCACCATCACCCAGCTTTCCTAAAGCCCAAAAGGTATGAAATCAAGCCAGCGGCAGCCCAACGGAGAGTCAGGGATGAGAAATGATACCGCTAACAGCAAGGGCGGATGCTTTGGGAATGAGCTGTAAGGTGGGAAAGAAGGTCCTGTATCCTGGATGCTTTCAGGGTGAGACAGCTGGAGATGGGAGAAATACATTCAAAGAACAGAATTAAGGGCTTTTTATCTTTCTTTCTTAAATTACCCCCAAAGAAAAGCTTCATGGGGAGGGAGAGAAAACAGCATGCAAAGGCCCACAGGTGAACAATGCAAAAATGGATGGATCCTGCCTTTGCCTCCTCTGACATGCATTCCTTCTAGCATGCAACACTAGAATAGATATAATACCCTGACATTTCCAGTTGCTCCAAAGACAGTCCATCTTGGTGGAATCGGCACTGGCTTCTCGGAGAGCTGAGGAATTGCCGGTCCTTTCGTCGGAGGCACTGCGTTACCAGTCAGGCATTCCCGAGCATGGGTGGGTTAGCGGGTATCGCTCCCGTCTCCCCGCTCGGCTCCGGACTGATGCTGTAAGCAGCACAGGCGGAGGGGGGAGGGCATATTGTACACGCTGCGGTCTCCACTGCAGCAAATCAGCAGTGTGATGTGGTTGCCCTAGGGAGCAGGCTCCTTTGAAAAGGGGATGCAGTCCCCTTTCAAATCAAAAGCTTGTGCTCAGCGGCTTAGCCTCCTAAGCCATCGAAATGGTTAAGGCAACCTGACAGCAAAGAAATAAAAACAAATTGGGTGTGGGTGGAGGGGGGGGTGGGGGGTGAGCAGTGTTTCCTATGTGGCTGTATGGTTGTGACTATTCATGTTCCAGAAATTTCTTGAGAGTGATGAAATCTGGTGTTTTCCTCATTTTTTAGAGAGGGGCAAATTTCCCCCTACCGCTCCAGGTTTTGATGCCCCACTCTCCTCTGTCCAGCTAGGAGAGGCCAGGGAGCAGGCAGGAGAAAACCAAGGGCAGGATCCAACCCCAACAGAGCAAACCACATTTTGATATTTTTCAAAACTATTCCAGAAAGAGAAGAAAATGGCAGAGTACCCACACCACCAGGGATCACCCTTCTCCCCCTGCAGGCACGAGCACCCGCAGGCACTGGGCGACCCACACGGCCCCCCAGCCCCTCGTGCCAAGCCCTGCTACACCAGGATGCCGAGCACTGCGAGCTGCATCCAGGTTAGGGTGTGCGGGGTATGAGCACTGCCTCCTCCCGCTGCTCAAAATGCTGCATAAACCAGGATTTGAGGTGCAAAGAGTGCAGATATATGGGACAATTTGTGAAAAAGTGTGTGCTCTCACCAGTAACTGTGAGCCCGCCAATGGCAGAATTTTAACACCAGCACCGACACTCCTCCCCTGGGTAAAACACTGTCCTTGCCTCAGTTTCCCCATCAATAAACTACTTTAAGTAGCCTCCCAGAGATGTCATAACTAAGCAATGACCACACGGTATTTGATAAATACTTGGAAGAAAATGCTTTACATCCACCCAACATATCTGCCTTTTCAGATTTTGGGGTGTGGGGTGGTTATTAATCACAAAGAAACTCCATGAAAAGTCACCCCATTTCACTGAAGAGTGACCTGAGATACAGCATATCAGACTTGGTCCGGTCATCGTTGGCAGAACAATCCCAGCTGGGGACCTCTCAGCTCTGAGGTTGTATTTAATCTTTTAGAACCTGCTAGTTTATGAAATAATTTTACTTTAGCCATGTTATACTGAGTTTAGCTTTTTTATATGGAAACAGACACCAGCACAGACACAGTGGGTCACGTACCCATCAGCATGGGGAACAGCGTTTAAACCCCTCTGCTCTTTTGGCTCCAAAAATTAACGGTCTTTAATGCCTGAGTTAACAGAGATCTCCTCCAACTGGCAGTAGCAAGTCACTTATCCTTCCCTCAGGTAACTCATCTCATAGAAGAAAGCCAAAATTTAAGGAGAGATTCACCACAGTGTGATCTTAACCTTTACCTAGAAAACTCTGCTGGGATTATGGAGGCCAATAGCTATTGTTCATGTTTCAAAACTGCCTTAGAAATCCCCCCAAAGACTTGCTCTAGGCTTGAATCCAGCATCTTCAGTCCCCTAACAGGGAAATAATTAACTAATTGGTGCAGAACTGGCTTCAATTATCATTGCATATAGTAAGATTAAATAATCTACAAACAATGTTACAAGTCTTGATTTTGTGTTCTTCCTGGCTTTGTTAAAAAAAGGAAGAAATGGATTGGCAAAGGATGATTTCTCATCATGGTCTGATTGGTTTAGACCCTTTGCAAGAGCACAAAATATCCCTATTGATACTTTTTGTCCTGCACACTGTTTGCAGCTCTGTGATGGGATTCCCAGCACCAATCCATAATACGAGGTATTTACAAGCAGTGTATATAAAACAGAGCCATCATTCATCTGCAACTCCTAAATCCTGAAATCCCTGAAAAAAAGCCAAAGAGACCTCAAACTTCATGCGTCAGTGAAACTCATGGCTATTAGGTATGTACCACCAGCAACACAGCAGTGAGAAGACACAAAATCTCTGCTTAGTCTCACTGTAACCCACATTTCTCAGTCAGGTATAAAAGACAAATTCCGTTTGGACAGAAGAGTTGTCCATGTACATTTAACATCCCAGTATTGTATGAAACAGTGGTGATTTCTCCTTTCATTCATTGTTGGTAGGGATTTTTCTTGCCCCAGACTTCAGGTCTCCATCTCCTTCCCCAGGCTACCAAAATGAATCATACCATCTGTTTTCCTGCTTAAATTTGTATTTCCCTTTGGAAAAGTATCTCTTCAGACCTGGCCCATGTGGTTGGACTGTACCACGCTACTTCCAGAGCTATTTTAATTCATGGGCACCAGAATCCATCACTTTACCACCAGTAACAAGAACAATGCATCTGTGTCAGAAACAGAACTGAATTGGAACTGTGAGATGAACATACTTAGAAAATGCGAATGGGCTGAGAAGGTCTTCCAGTGTGCACTCACTTATCCCAGGAGCTGAGTCAGGTGAGGGAGAGAGGCAGCGCCTGGCATTAACGCTCTATGTGTGTCTACACAGACTTGCACAAAAAGTTTAACAAAATCCCAATGAGCACTGGGTGGATCCAGGACTAAAATGGCAATTGATAAAAAGTGCATTTCTACGATGAGAATTTAAATTATTCAGTAAATAGTGAGCCAGAATTAGGACTAAGCAGTTGGCCATCAATCGACTGAGGGTGAGAACAACTACTTTGCAACAGAACTAAACCAGGACCACCAACTAAACATTTACTGAGCAGGCTGGAAGGCACAAATAAGCATAGCACTGCCTGGATCTTAAAAGGGTGAGACATGTCCAGGTCAGAGATCTTGGCATCAACCACAGGATACTGCAGTGTTGGAGGAGAGTTTTCCTGTGATCATGAATAGAAGCAGGATTAAAAGCAGTAAGTGGAATTTGCTTCCCTTCCCTTCAGAGCACTGTCCAGGGGAAGCCATCCTGCGGGATGTTACTGAAATGATTACAGATCTTAAGATGTTTTAGTGAGGTCACCTAAAGCTCAATGTTGATGGCACAGACATAAGCCAAGTGGGCTCATCAGTATTTGCCTGTTAAGTAGCTCTGCTGAAGATAATGACCTGTGTATGAAGGATGTGTGGGTTAAGGACTCAGTAAAATAAAGTTACCCGGTTCCTTTCAGCCCATCCTAACCTCCCATTGAGGGAAACCTCTGGCCAAGTTAACACATGAGTAGGGTATTGCTGTCTGCCTCATTTCTTTCCCTCCAACCCCAGCAGGGATTGCTGGATGAGGTGCAGACTGCAGCTCAGCAAAGGACACGGGCACCCTGCCATGGTGTGTGGGCCGCCAGGGTTGTGCTGCTTACAGGGACACAACAAACCCCGCGTCAGGACTAGCTCTCCAGCCCTACCTTGCTTCCCTGTGAATGTCCTCCCACTTCTATGGTGATCCAGCCTGCCTGTGCACCACTGATGAGCTCTGATGAGGTAAGAGTTAGCAAAATTTAAGGCTTTTTAGGTAAATATACTTGAATTGACATAACAGTCCATAAGAGCTCAGAAGTACCCACTGTTCTACCACGGGAAGGATCACACATGGCCCTAAACTTCAGGGCTGTCCCTTAACAATCCTGCTGGAGGGCAGGGTAGAAATCAGCATTGGTTTCAAAGAATATTTAAAGATAACAAATTCAAAAATAGAGCTGAAGCCATCGCCAGTTCTGCTCTAAGTGCAGTGACTTTGAAGACACTTTGGACTGATTATGTTTTTCAGAACAGCGCTTTGCATCGCTCCGCGTCAACGCATCATTGGGGACACATTGAGGGCAGCGCTGGTGCTGTAAGATCCTGACATTTAGCACTTCAGGAACACAATAGCATTAAGGGAGATCATTGGGTTTTTCTTCTAAGCTAATTTGTTCTTAGCATTAGCAACAAAAATAGAGGGGATGCTATTTTAAAAGTTGCATTAATATGTCTCGAAGCTCTAAAGAGCAACGGGGAATTTTTGCCTGAGTACTCCAAGCCAAGGGCAGCCAGCAATTACATTTTCGTGAGGAGGCTGTCAATAGCAGAGGGATGGGTGAGATCCTGGCTCTGCTCTCATCCTTCCTGCTGTCTTGCACTCATTCTTGCACAACACATTTTCTGGGCTGCAGAATCACTCAGAGGCAGCTCAGGTGAAAAGGCCACGAGCCGGGAGATGCTGACAGCTATTTCAGGTCCATCACTATTCACAGTCTAGGTGGTACATAGACTGCTCTGTCCTTGCTGTCTTTTGCCCTGGGTCTTCGGTGTTTCCTCTTAGGAGATCAATTACATTTTATTCTCAGGTCTTTAGACCACAAAAGGAATCAATAAGCTGGTAAAAAAGACAATATGGTCTTAAACTGGTGCAGTTTAAGTCTGGAGTCGAATACTCATAACAAAAGAAACCCCGTGTCCTGGCATGTCACATAATTTCCAGCTTCCCTGAGATTTCTTTTAGAAGTCTTGAAATGCCCGGGTTTATAAGGGTTTTTTAAAAATAATCAGTCAAAATATTTGGGTTGTTTTCAGGGACAAGAAGTGTGTTTTGAGATGTGTTGCTAAGCTTCTGCTCTGCTGCCTCTGTTTCACTTTCTGCTCAGCAGATCTGTTTTTCATGCCCGTTTTTGCTCAAAGTCTGAGATTATCGTAAGGTCTTCGGCAACAACCATGTGACATGAGTCAAATGAGTGGGTGAAAGAATCAGGTGAGGCACTTTCTTCCCTCCCCTGGAATGAGGTAGCCTTTCTTTGAATCCTAGTAAATGAGCCATTTGGGGGGAAGTCCTTAGATTTGGCGCTATTGTTAAGAAACAATTTTTTGTTTTGGTTTTCGAACCGCTGATGTGCAGTGCCTCAGCAAACCTGGCAGAGATCCTCTTCACCAGCCATCCCAGAGATGGCTGGCACTTCTGCAGTGCCATTTGAGCTGACTGACTACTGCAGGCAACAGCACATCTAACACATAAGAATCAATTTTTATTTACTCCTGGTTCTTCAGCAGTGGATAATTTCTCTTGGTTCTTTAATGTTATTTTTGAACCGTGAGGATCATAGAAATGAAGGCTCTATTCCTGCCGTTGACCTAGAAAAGTCTTTTGATT